AAATCCACAAGAAATATAAAGATTCACACACAATTCTTTGTCTGCAGCTGGTTTTATATAAATATTTTTCACAGGTTCGTGGTTTCAGAATAAATCCTCCTGCACCATCGAGCCAAACAATAAAACGTCTCAATCTTTTTACAGAACTTTATATGAGCTGAATCATTAGTTTTGCTCTGAGGAAACTCGCTGCTTGTTTTATGCTTTGGTAGAAAACGAGTTTGATAGTTTTGATGAGATCAAACTGAAAGTGTGTTTGATTTTCAGAGATCCAGAGGAAACAGCAGCAGCAGGTTGAAACTGATCCACTGACACTTTCTCATTTTTTAATCCAGAGTTTAAGTAAATCTCATCGAGAGGAAACTGAACGCAGATAATTAGAGAAGAGTTGACGTCTGTTGCACAGAATGAGTTTAATTTAAATATTTAGATAAAAAATGTCTGAAACAGGAAGCAAACTGCAGTTGTCTTTTTCCTAAAGAAAGTCAGAACCTGAATCCAACAGAACTTTAAAGGTTCTGATATCACTTCTTCAATCTCTTTGTTCCACGTCCAAACTTTCTCTGTGTTCTTCCTGCGGAGCTGATTTGAACGTTCCGCACGTGTCGGAGATCTTCTGGGATTTATGTAATCAAACCTGATCCAGAAACATCTTGATTTGGCTTCGTTCAAAAGAAAACAGAGCCAACAGCTGCCAAGTGTTTTTTTTTTATTACTCAACTTAAATGTTTGCAAAGTCATTTGTGAGGATTCATTATTTCCAGAACTTAATATCCTGGGTCCTAACGACTCTGTCGCCCCCTGCAGGACTGTTCCTAAACCGCAGAGGAAGACCAAGGCGGTGGAGGTGAGAGGTCGGCGGGTGTTCGGAGCTCCTCTGCTCCTCAGCGTCCAGCAGACTGGAGAGACGCTTCCTCCCAGCATCCTCAGAGCGCTGGTCCACCTGAGGAGCAAATGTCTGGACCAGGTAACGAAGGTCACAGGTCGATGGAGGAAGAAGAAGTTGTAGATTTTTTTAAATCACATAAACAAAAACTTCCCCTGATTGTGAAACTGATTTTTATAAGGTGGGTCTCTTCCGGAAGTCGGGGGTGAAGTCTCGTATCCAGTTCCTCCGCGAGCTGGTGGAGTCGAACCCTGACGGCGTTTCCTACGATGGTCAGTCCGCCTTCGACGTGGCCGACATGGTGAAGCAGTATTTCCGAGACCTGCCTGAACCGATCTTCAGCAGCAAACTGTGCGAGTCCTTCCTCCACATTTACCAATGTGAGCTTCAAAGTCAACTTTCAATTCACAACCTCACTGAAGTTTTTATTTGACCTTAAAGACGAATAATCTCTTCCTGCAGATTTCCCCAAAGATCAGCAGCTGCTCGCGGCTCAGGCGGCCATGTTGCTGCTTCCCGACGAGAACAGGGAGGCGCTGATGACGCTGCTCTTCTTCCTGCGGGACGTGGTGGCGAGCGTGGACGAGAATCAGATGACACCGACCAACATCGCCGTCTGCCTGGCGCCGTCGCTTTTCCACCTGAACGCCGTGAAGAGGGACGCCAGCGCAGCCAGGTGAGCGGAGACCCCAGAGGACATTCTCTCTCTCACATGTCGTCCTCCATCAGTCTGTCATCCGCAGTAAATACGACACAGAACATAAACTACTTCAAACACTTCCTCCGTTACTCGTAAACTACTTCAAAAACACTGGACACTTGTTTTTCTGTCTGTTGTCCGATCAGTGGTTTGTTGTCGCCGCAGGTCGAATCACAGGAAGTGCAGCCTCGGTCTCCCCGATCAACGAGACCTGAGCGAGAACCTGGCCGCCACCCAGGCCCTGGCCGACATGATCACCGAGGCCCGGAGACTCTTCCAGGTTCAAACACCAACAACCTGCTGCACCAGAAGAAATGGTTTGAATCCCTGATTCCTCCAGAGACTGAACACACGACTTTACTCTCTGCAGTTTCCAGAGTTCTGGCCCAGTCGGTGTCAAAGTGCTGCCGCAGAGGACGTCCAGGAGGAGGGAGGAGGCCCGGCCGGTCAGAGTGGAGGTGAGGAGGAGAGAAGGAACCAGCTGCAGCAGATCACCCAGCACCTCCTGAGGGAGGCCAGGGAGAGGAGCCGAGGCTGGGAGAGCCACGCAGCTCCGGAGCAGGTGGAGCTCTCCTTCAAGAAGGTAAAGAGGGGGGGGGGCGTCTGAGTGGAGTCAGTGTTGTCGTGACGCTGTAGTTTTATCTTGGATTGTATTTCATCCTCAGGTGGACGACGGCTGCCCGCTGTGGATGTGGCGAGGCTCCGTGGAGGTGGACGCTCCTCAGAAGGAGCTGCTCCACCGCCTGCTGAGGGAGCGGGAGCTGTGGGAGGGAAAGCTGCGTCAGTCCACCGTCGTCCAGACGTTGTCCAAAGACACTGAAGTCTACCGCTACGTCCTGCAGGGACAGGACCTGGTGTCACGGCCGCCACAGGAGCATCTGCTGCTCAGGTAATAACACCCCCCTCCCCTCAGCTGAGCTCTACAAGTCGTGTTTCTTGGTAACATCATCGTCTTTGTCTTCCTCTTCAGGACGTGGCAGGCAGACCCGTCCTCCGGGCCTCTGTACCTGTCCTCTGTGTCCACTGAGCACCCTGAGGTGCTGCTGGAGGGGATCAGAGCTCATGTTCACTGCTGCCTCTACATGCTGGAGCCAACCGGAGCCAGAAAGACCCGGCTGACGCACCTCTGTCGGACGGACACCAGGTGAGGGTGGACGAATGGAGCGCTCCTCAAATTACAATGAGACACCAAAACCAGCTCAGACGAAACAACGGAACAAAAACTTATTTTATATCAGTTAAACACTTTAAATTTAACAGTTTGTTCCTTTTAGTTTTATGTGTTAATATTTATATTTCTTCACATAAGATCGTCTCATCACATTTTGTTATTTCCCGTCTTTTAAATAAAA